ACCTCACTTTAATCAATCTAAGAATGCTACAGACAAGTCCTTAAGAGAAAGGTTAGTACGGACAAATTTGCTAGCTTGGCAAGCGAGACTGGCTTATTAAGATGAATATTTTGTTATTTTTCATACCAGTGATAAAAAAATTAAATGTGATTTCAGTAAAATTCTACCACTATCACTTATTTCTAATAAAATAAGCCAATACATCAGCTTACAATTGCCCTCATTAGTCTGGGGCAAAAAAACAGGCAGGATAAACAAATCACATGTGTGATCATTAAATATGGAAATCATGACAATCAAGTCTTACTGAAAAGGTTTTCGGTCAACAAGAAGTTATACCAATTTAGTGCAAAGAATTTTAATTTGACTTTTGGTTATAGTTATAACTAAGCTTGTTAGTATTTAGAGATAACAAGGTGTAGAGCTGGATGAACACAGCAGGCCAAGCAGTATCATAGGAGCAGGAAGGCCTGCTTTAACAGACTATGTTAAGCTTTGACGATTTTGAACAATTTTGTAATATCAGTAACAATTCTAACATCTTCTCGAGATTTCAAAATGTCATTGCCTACATCTTGACTCACATCAAGTCTCATTCACCTAGCACCCCATGCTTACCGACATACATTGACCACTGTCAAACAAGATCTTGATTTTAAAATTCTAATTGTTGTTTTCACATCCCTCATGGTCTCTCCCCAAAATTTGCAACACAGATGCACAGCTCTAATAAGTGAATTTCTATTGCTAATGGCCACAAGTTCAAATCTCAGTCTCAGTCATCTAAAGTTGCATATTCTTGCTTTTCTAAAATTACCTGAGAAAATCAGCTAAACCCTTTCCCACCCCCAAAAAGACACATTGCTTTAATGTTTATTTTGTGCTATTACGGTGTTATTTATAGAGCACCTTTAACATAATAAAACATGCCAAGACACTATACACAGAAGCGTTATAAAGCAAGATATCAGACTGAGCCACATCAGGGGTTATTGCGACAGATGACGAAAAGCTTAGACAAAGAAGTGGGTTTTAAGGAGTATCTTAAAGGAGGAAAGCAAAGGCAGAAATCTAAAAGGGTGGATATTCTAAAGCTTAGAGCTTAAGCAGTTGAAAGTCAAACTATCACTGGTGGGACAATTAAAATCAGGAATATTCAAGAGGCCACAATTAGATAAATGGAGATATTGGAAGGTTGTGGGGCTAGACCAGATAATTGAGGGAGGGAAAGATATTGTCAACTAAGTTATGGGAATCTGGATAACCTCACGCTTACAGAGGGTTGAATATGGAGATCGGCCAAAGCTGGGTTGCAATAGCAGAGTCGAGAGGTAACAAAGGCATTAGTTGAACATTTCAGCAACAAGTGACCTGAGGCAAAGTTAGGCAAAGTTACTGAGGTGGACATAAGCAGTCTTCTTGATGTGGATACGTGGTCGGTAGTTTATCTCGGAGTCAAATATAACACCAAGACTGCAGTCAGAGACTAAACCAGAGAGATGACGCCACTAATGAAGGAATGGAGGAGTTTTGAGTGGGGACTGAAAACAATATGGCTTCAGTCTTCCTAAATAAATTGGTAGAAATTTCGACTCATCCATTCTGAATGCCAGATAAGCTGTAAGATAATTTAGCAACAATAAAAAGAGTTGAGGGAGGTGGTGAGTAGAGCTGGGTATCATTAGTCCACATTTGGAAACTAATGCAGCCCTTTTCAATGATGTCAGTGAGGGGCAACGTGTAGTTGAGAAATAGGAGGGAACCGAGGAACAATCCTTGGGAAACACCAGGGATGACAATGTGCGAAGTGGGAAGAGAAGCCAGTGCAGTAGCTATTCTGGCTATGAATAGACAACACTGAAAGCAGGCAAGAATAGGCCTGTCTGGCCATATGACAGTGGTGAGATGTTGGAAGAAAATGGCATGGCCAGCAATTTTATTATTCCATCTCATGGTGTAGCAGCTTTGTTCAAGATTGAAACAGTTCTGTGTGGCGAAAAAAATTCAAGCAAACCATCAAGGGCATCAATGGCAATCAGAAATTGAATGGAGCCATTCCCAGAAATGATTAAACCAGGAAGTTATTTTAGTATGTTTACAAACTCAGTTTGCTTTATTTAAGTAGTTGAAATGCAATTTTAATTTGATTTCCATGTTAGATGAAAGCCTTAAGGCATTTCACCGTTGAACAAACCCTTCAATTACAGAAGGAAAAAAAAAATCAACATTATTTTATCCTCCCTGGAGCTGGAGAGAGAGATGGCAAGAAAGGGAGTTAAGACACCACTGTCGAAGCCTATGATAGGCTGAGATATTTGCTTAAGCTCACCAGCCTGCTCTTCACTGGCTGATTGGTGTCTGATCAGTCAAGTTTTCTCAATGGTAGGGGTGACAAGTAAATTGATACTTAACATGCTAACTCCCAAACAAAAACGGAAAAGTGCAACCCAAGTACTAATCAGTAATTAGGTAACTTTTAGTATCACAGTCACACAACCAGGACATCTTACAGATTCCTGTATTTTGATCAGAAGCAGTTTTCCCTGGTAAGTATTGCTTAACTTGTCGAAACATGTAAATACTTTATACACAAAAGCACTATGTTTCACCAAATATTTTTGGACAGACAGTAAAGCCTTATCCTAACAAGCAATACCACAGCAATTTCACTCCAATGCTGCATGGATCATCCGTAAAGAAAATTAACCTGCTGCTGGCAAAAAATATGAAAATACTTTTCCCGTTTGAACAATCCTGTTTTAACACTGAGAATATGTGAATAAGATCAAACTATTTACTAGCTAACATTTCCTTTCTGAGCATTCAAACCTGGGCAGGCAATAGTAAGACTGAAAACCAATTAATTATGGGTGGGATAACCAGTTTTTGACTCGTCCTTCAGGCAAGCAGTTTTAAAACTATTCCTGGAGCAGGTTTTGCATCATGTTGGAGGATTGATGAATGGCAATACAGAGTAGACTGGTCATGGTTTCTCATCTGTAATTTCCCTGTGTCTGATGATCACATATAGTGCACAAAGAAGGGGAAAGGTAAATGTTTCGTAAGTATTTCTTTCCTCCTGTGCTCAAGATGGAACCAGTTCAGAATTTATGGAAGGAAATTCTCTCCATTCAGAAGGGTAAAGGCACTAAAATTAAACTAAGTCTAGCAAGCAATAACCCACAGGCCAAACTGACCCCAATTTAGCACTAAATGAGCAAAAACTAGCAACCTAATTCAGAGATTTCAGGATTGCTGTTGTGTAATTTTGGAAACGTCATTTGAGAACTAAAAGGATGATTGTTTACTGTTGCAATTAAGGCAAATTGTCAAACAGTAACAATTGCATGACACAAGTGCCAGATAATGATCATTTTCAATCAGAGAGAATCCAACCATCTCCCCAAAGTTCAGTGGTATTAACATTACTGAATCCCCCAGTGACAAAATCCTGGGGTTACATGGACGAGGAACTGGACTGGACTAACCATACCATATGAAGACTATGGCTACAAATGCAGATCACAGACTAGGAATTCTCCAGTGAGCAACTCCCCAAAGTCTGTCCATCATCCACAAGCCACAGGTCAGGAATGTGATAAAATGACACTTTCCTAGAGGAGTGCAGCTTCAACAACATTCGTGAAGTAAACACCATTCAAGAGAAAGCCACGCGATTAGTATTCACCATTTTCAACATTTGCCCTTTCTACCACCAATGCATGGTAACAGCTGTGTGTACCACTGTCTATAAGACAGACTGTAGCAACTCATCACAACTCCTTAAACAGCACCATCCGAACCCACAACTTTTACCATGTAGAAAGTCAGCAGGTGGGAGATGTATGTGAACATCACCACCCACAAGATCCCCTCCAAGCCACACCATTCTGAAGGTGTTGTATTGTGGCACAGATTCTATACCAGATAGGCCTGCATCTTTCAGACATGTGGCATTCCATTAAAAAGTAACCTGCCTTGCCCTCAGTGACAATCTGTTGAATGGATTGGTGTTTTCAGTCAGCTACATGTATGTAATGTACTGTAGCATCACAAGGGACAGAACCAGGACTGTGTGCAAGTTTGAGATATCGCTGCCATATAAATAACAATAAATTATGCTCAAAAGTTCTGTCTCAAAAAGAACCTAGACTTTGTGGCATACATTACATAGGCTAACACATAGAAAGCCTCATCAAGCACTATATATCCATTGTTTCACTGTCGCTGGGTGAAAATCATGGCCCTTCCTTTCCAACAGCACTGTGGGTGTATCTACATTTCATGGACTGCAGCAGATCTGCAAGACGGTAGACCATCACCACCTTCTCAAGGGCATTTAGCCATGGGCAATAAATGTTGGCTTAGCCAGTGATACCCACATTCTACAAACAAATAAATAAAGAGCAAAGCAAGCTTTAATCTGTACCAAGCCTGGTCTCCACACAATCTAGAACAATCATCGTTGATAAGGAACCTAAAAATGAAATGGTAAGGTCACTTGTGCACACATGGGTCTTCACTTTTTAACAACTAGAAAAAATTTGAAGGTCCAATGGAAACCAGAGTTTCACAAGGCAACAAACAAAGGCTTGAAAATAGATTGAGCATTTCGCTAACTGCGGCATGGTACAAGATAGCAGTTGAAAAATAACTGGCATTGTTCTAAATTTCAAACAAATTTCTAAATTAAGTAGTGGAAAATGCCGAAATGCCATTTTCAAAGACAGTTCCAGAACATTGCCTTGTACTAAAAATTTGCATTGGCCACTTTACAAATTCCAATCTTTATGCAATGGCTCTACAGTTGTTAAGGAAACCTAATAAGCAGCAGTTTTTCTGTGCCAGGACTAATATCAGTAACAATCCTTAACTGTATAAGCAAACGCTATAAATACACTTATTTTTAAAATGGTAACTCACAAATTAATAAGCTAATGGAATACAAAGGACTGGGATAAAAATATTACGGTACATTCTTCATCAGAAAATGTACCTACCTTCTGCACCAAGGGACAGGTCATCCTCAAAACTACATCCGTTCTTTGTACCTGCGCCTGTTGAAACATTTACAAGGTTATGCGTACCTTACATTTCTCAAATGTCTTTACGTCAACATAACACTTTATAAGTTATATTTTTAAGCTTTGACTCTAAAAGAACAAAACCATTAAAAACAAAAAAAAATTACTGAAACCATACCTCCAAAACAAATCACCTTTTCTACTAATTCAAACAACGTCCATTGGTAAAAAAAAAATCAAATTTACCTTTCAAGGGCAGCTGGTTTGATTCTTCCAAAGATGCTCCTAATGGTGGTCTGTAAATGTACAATAAATGCTTGATAAATAAACTTATCTTTTACTAAATATCCATTCTCTACCTACAAATAAGCAAAAAGACAAAAGTGTAAGAGAAGGATCATCATATCAACAGCTTCTATTTATCATTAAGGAACAGCTTCCGAAAAGGACAGGATCCTAGGATAGGTTTATAATTGGCTAAATGAACTTCTTGTTAGCAGAGGTTTTTCGACAAGCTGTAAAGTTGCTACCAACTACAACACAACAATGCTGCTTACACTATTACAATTGTCCCAAACTTTTAAAGTATTTCACTAAACGGCTTTCAGCCAGCCGGAGGTCATGAAAGGTCCAAAATAAATGAAAGTCTGCCTCTCCTTTCAAAGCAAAAGAGCAATGAAAAGCTGCTGAATACTAGAATGCTTGTGTTATGTACGTGCTACACCTGATCAGAGGAAAATACAGGGGGCTCTTCATGTACCCAATTTTAATAAAGAAAGAAAAGAATTATGACATATTGTCACAAGAGCAAAAACACATTGGCCTAGATCTTATGATTAGAAGAGAAGTCATTGCTGAAGCACGGAACAAGTTGTGCATCGGAACCATGTAGATATCTAGGGACAGGAGTCAGTCAGTCAAAACATCTGATGGGGCAATTTAACCATGACTAGAACCATCCAAGTATATCCCAAATTCTGAGTTAGAATTCACCTGTTATTATCTATTGGGTTTCGCAGCAGCCTGAGGCCAAGTGGAAGTAGAAAACAGAGAACAGCTTTAGATAAAGTAAGGATAACTTGACATGAACCTGATTAGGTGCATTTTAATGAGGAACATGTACTCAGTATTGTTGGAATTGATGTGAGACAGTCAGAATAAAATGCTGACCAGAAGAAACACTTGTTTGGACACTCTCTAACCAATGTTTTAAGTTCTAGTTTTATCCTCACTTAGCTTAATAGTTAACCAGGAAAAACTAGAGGAACTAAATCATGTTCCAGTTCCTAGGTTACCGTTAAAGTGAACTCCCACTGCCCCCACCCAAATGCTAACAAATAACTCACCTACTCCCGCTCAACTACAGCCCATTCTGGTTTCTCAGGAGATATTCAAAACCCCATGAACCCCATGACTCTCTTCTGACTTCCTCCTGGCACCTGACAACCTGGACTCGAACACCACACTCCCTCCCAACAACATGGCCCCAATGACTTCCAGTGGACCTGACCCTACTCCTCGTGGCTCACCCTACACCATCCTGACGGACTCTCCCAATCTACACAGCCACGCACAGCACAACCCAACAGCATCAGCCTTAATATCCCCACCCAACCTACATTAAACCCTTAGAAATCTACCTGCCAGTCCCCAACTATCATTCCCACACCCACGTGCCATCTTACTCTCTCACTCACCAGCACTCACCCTCCTCATCTCCTGAGATCTTACCACTGGGCAATCTACTCCCAACTTCTCCCCACAATACGTTCCTGCTCTTTGTCGCTGTCAACATGGCTTTGGAACCTTTAAACTATGGAATAGGGCATTGATTGCAGCATGGCATGGTTTCAGCATCATTCCACTCGGCTGCTGACTGCTGATTCGCTGACCTGCTTCTGCTTTGAAGGCTCCAGCCTCAGAGGTTCAGGCAATAGAAATCCTATAAGAGGGGCAATCTTTTGTCTAATCTGGATAAGAAATAAGAATGCTGACCATAAACTGGGATGCTGACCTAGAATGGAAGATTCAGGCCAAATGTATTGCAACTACGCCCTTGCAAAGAGAATGTTTTCCTGCAATCAAGGCAGGGTTACCTGAAATCACCTTCATTTCCTAGAAACTGTATCTTGGATACAATAGATAATCTTTGTTAGAAACGACGTGAACTAGTCATATTTTACGCAATAGTTAATAGTTATTTCTTTGCTAAGCCCTTTGGTTTCTCTTGCACAATTAAGGAAAAATGTTGAATTATTATCTTATAGCAATAAGACAATTTTTCACCATATTATCTCCCAAACATCCACACATTTTTAGAAAGATAGTACATTTTCACTAAATCATGTTATTCCATCCTGTCAACTGTTGCACTCATAATGCACACATGGCTGGATAAGTATATTTTAAAGTTTTTTGCATTCATTATACTACAACTTGAGAATTCAACCAAAAAATAATTGATATTTGGGTAATCAAAGTTCACAATATGAAGTGGCTTATATTCAAACAATATTTTATTTTAGGAAAGGCTATGAAATGCAAAAAAATAATTTGTATTATCTTGTTAATCTAAGTGTAATAAAATCTTTTGAGGAAGGGTAAAACGGAAAGGCCTTATACTGCGGTACTTTTCATCTCTCTATTGCCTTCTATCAAAGGGCATGAAGATTTCATTATATTTAATTGTTCCAGAAAAAAACACGCACTTGTATAGCACCACTTATTCACTGAAGTAGAAAATATGGATGTTAATGTGCACAAAGCAGTGTCTCACAAACAACAACAAACAAAATTACTAGAGATAGTAGGAACTGCAGATGCTGGAGAATCCGAGACAACAAGGTGCAGAGCTGGATGAACACAGCAGGCCAAGCAGCATCATAGGAGCAGAAAGGCTGACGTTTCGGGCCTAGA